CAACCATCGAGCTTGTGCCACAACCCCACTCCCACACGAGGACAGACCGGTAAGAATTCTCGACGCGAGACGGCGGGAGACAGTGAGCATTTTCCTCCATTTTCTTCTTGTTTTCCAGACTACTTATTGCCTCTTTGTGTGGTAGCCATCTTCAGCGCACACACAAGGCATTTCTTGAAGGACAAGAATCGCATCACGCTTCCATCAGCGGAATGATGTGACCTGTCTGCAGGCAAGAAACGTTCGACTCTTGCCCTATGCATATGTAGGATCACACTGCAGGTGTGCCAATGCAGACATCGAGGTTCAAGTTGTGCGACACAGGACCGATGCCAAGCGAGTGGACGGAGCTTTCGAGATGGAGCACATCACGGAGACGTGCCTTATTGGCTAGAGATGGGCAGTCGTCAATAGGAACAATGCGGCACCCGTCACGGCGCGAGCTTCAAGTTCCCGGTGAAACGCTTTTTCAGAACACACGCAAACACGAAAGGATGGTCGAACTCGCGCAAACACTCGTTATCGTCGGGGCAGTGGCCCTCGCAATCGTCTGGTTCAGGTAAGAACGCACAGCGAATGTCGGGGATGGATGAGATGCAATTGCAAATTCTGCACGTTGATGGCATGTCGTGATGATGTCCTGTTTGCCTATGCATTCAGGCTAAATCAACCCCAACACTTAGTGACGGTCTGCGAGGGTGAGATCATGATGCATTCACAAAAAAGGAGAGAGATCCAGTGGACGGCAACCAATTGCGCGTGTGTATCCGTTGTGTGTGCTGCAGAAGATGAAGGCGTGGAGACCCATTGCTGCCAACGCGTGGCCGGGATCTACTGCAGGGGGAAGGGCAAGTGGAACGCTTCTCCAGCACACACAGGAAAAAAAGTCAGCATGGACGAACTCGCTCGTTCGATCGTTTTCTTCGGGGCACTGTCCCTTGCTGCAGTCACCCTCTTCACGTAAGGACAGGCACAGCGGATGTGGGGATGGATGAGATGCATCTGCACGTTGATGGTAAGTATGTCATGCCGTCCGTCCTTGTTTGCCTATGCATTCAGCGAATCGTCCTGAACACGTAAACGTTGGGCGGCTGCCCGCCCGTGTCTGTCTGAGTTGTGACTGGGAGACCACAAGGGGTGAGCCGTCAGCAGGCAAGCGGGAATGTCTATCTCCCGACTGAGACACACGTTTGTGTCTCCATGTGCCTTCAGACATCGCTGCCTCCATTTTATATCTGTGGACTCGTCAACTACGTCAACTCGTCAGCCGACCACAGCCACCGCCTTTCCACCAGAGGACGCCCAGCCCCACCTGCACTTCCTCTTTGACGTCAACTCGATTGTCAACCAGACGGCCAACACCACGACAGCCGATGGGCTGCAGGAAGTCTACCACCACGTGGCGGATGATGAGTACGAGGGCGACGTTGGCCTCTTCGCTCTGCTCGCCACCCTCGCCGTCATAATGTGAGGATCCCGTCTGACCCCTTCCATACACACGCACACAGCACCACTTTATTTACTAAGCGGGCGTGTGTGTTTCAGGCTGTGGCGAGGGCTGTGCCATGTCCATCGTCGGATCATGGCGTCCATCTGCCCACACCCACCCCGCCGAGCCGACCGACGTAGCCGGCGCCGAGCCGACCGACGTAGCCGCCGCCGCCCCGCTGTCATAAGGCGACACGTCACCGCGCCTGCGGCCGCCATGATAGCACACGTGAGTCGGGGCACGATATGTGTTGTCGACAGCACTACAATGTTGTGGACGAAGTGTAGGACATACCTGCACTTCAACCATGCGAAGTGAATAAAAGACTTGCTGCCCTCTGTGCTGGACTGGAGTGGGTCGCCGCGTGTGGCGCAGAGCATGAAGGCCATGGCCATGGACCGCTTCTTCAACTTCAGCTCACTCAGGTACCCTTCCCAACGCATTGGCCTGGTGAATATGCAGTATGAATCTGTGAGTGTGTGTGTGTGTGTGTGATGGTCAGATTAAGCACATGGCCATCCTCGGTCAAGTCCAGCGAGGCCACTGTTGCCGAGGCGCTGGCATTCGTGTCGACGGTCGATGACGACATGGGCGGCACCGAGATCCCCTTCATGAGCATGACGCCCGCTAAGGGAAACGCACGGTGAGTGCCCCTTCCACGCACACCTCTAGATCCATCTCTTCCTCTCTCTCTCTCTCTCTCTCGTGTGTGTGTGTGTGTGTGTGTGTGGATTGCAGCCGTGTGTTCGTGCTGAGGGACGGTCGGGTCAGCTCTCGCCAAAACACACGAAAAAATAGCAAACCCCGCTTCTTTGTTGGCTGTTTTCGCTTTTTCGCTCACAAGTGACGACGGTCTACTCGAGACCAGCATCTGCAATCCATCCCCCTACCACCGATGATACCCATGATACCATTGGTGACGGCCCTGTGCTGCCTTTACCGCATCCTCCCGGCGGGGTATGTGCGCCATGCATTAGGATAACTGCTGCAGCCATGCGTGAGATGCGAGATGGGATGCATCTACGCCTTGTGCTCGTTGCAGGCAGGTGTTTGTGCTGACGGAGGGTCAGGTGATCAATGAGGCTGAGGTGGTGCAGCTCGTCAAGACGGAGCCCCCGCGTGTGCTGCCGCTGGGCATTGAGAGCGGCGTCAGAACCTACCTCGTCAAGGGCATGGCTATAAGCGGCAATAGGGACGCACTGGTATGCGTGTGTGGAAAGCGAAGGCATACACAGACAATCACGTGCTCATTATTCTGCCTGTGGTCGCGTCGGGTCAGGCCACATCGGGGATCATCCATCTCTCTCTCTCTCTCTCTTTCTGTGTGTGTGTGTGTGTGTCAGCTCTCTGTGCAGCTCAAGTCGCTGCCCATGGACCGCATTCCCACCTTCAGCTCACTCAGGTACCCTTCCCAACGCATTGGCCTGGTGAATATGCAGTATGAATCTGTGAGTGTGTGTGTGTGTGTGTGATGGTCAGATTAAGCACATGGCCATCCTCGACGACGTCCAGCGAGGCCACTGTTGACATTTGACATGCCGCAGTATTGCTCATCCTCGCTCATGTTCGACCAAGGCATCGCTATGCTCCTCGACCTGCAGCAATGGACCTCCCTGTTGAGCGCTGAAGCCGCTTCGGAATCGGCATTTATTGCAGACATAATGAAGGCGCTGCACGGGGCGGGGACCTCATGGCCCCGAGTGCAGCTGCTGCGTCGGTGGTGGACACGGACAGTACCGCCATTTACTACCAAAACCGTTCGCCCCACACACAACAGCTGCTGGCCAAGCTGCTGTGCATGGAGAGGGCCGCGGAGCCCTTCATTGTGCTGGATGTGCTCCATTGGGATGTCATCGGGCCTGCCCCGGGTCTCCTTGAGTGGGCGGAGCCGGGTGATAAGGCGACGGCGGGCAGGGTCATCAACACGCTGGACAGCATGCTGCAGCAGGCGGAGGGCGAGGCATGGAATGCCATGACGGCACTGCTGCAGCGGGCGGACATCGTTTTCTTGGCTACACAAAGCCCCCCATGTCTTGGGTGGAAGGGGTGGGCAATTGGGGGTGGGTGAGTGGAGACACATCCAGAGAGCCGTCCCATCCCGCACACGCATCTCATCTGTCCGTGTGTGTGATTAGGTATCGCTGCTTACATTTTATATTCGACGACGACTGATCATCGACGTGTGGATGTGTCGTCACAAATTGTCTTTCTGGCGCGTAAGGAGGCGAAGTCACACAGAGACAGTCAGGTGTCCACTTTGTATGTATGTGTCTCTTCAGCTGCAGGTGCCGGCAGCCAGAGTGGATAGCGGGATGGGAAGCTTCGAGGGATCGTTCGTCATTCAGTGGCTGCAGAGCAGGAAAAGGTCATGGAACTCGAACATTCCCTCGTTTCCGTCGGGGCCCTGGCCCTTGCGGCTGTCATTATCACGTAAGAACACACACAGCGGACCACTGAACAGCGTGGATGAGATGCATCTGCATGTTGATGGTAAGTATGTCATGCCGTCCGTCCTTGTTTGCGTATGCATTCAGCATGATCGTCCTCAACACGCAAACGTTGGGCGGCTGCCCGCCCGTGTCTGTTGATGGTATGTCGTGATGATGTTCTTGTTTGCGTATGCATTCAGCATGAATCAACCTCGATACGTCCTAACCGTCTGGGATGGTGAGATCATGATGCATTCACAAAAGAGGAGAGAGATCCCGTGGACGGCAACCAAAAGCGCATGTGTATGTGTTGTGTGTGCTGCAGACGGGGAAGGGAGCGATGAGACCCCCTGCTGCCAAGGCGTTGCGGGAATATATTGCCGCATCGAGTGCCCCATCCCCGACATCAACAAGCCCCCGCACCGACGGCAGACGGGGAACTCCTACCGCGTGGGCGACGTCGTCACGTACTCGTGTGACGCGTGCACCCTGCGACAGGTCAACTATCTCTTCGCCATCCCCCTCTACCCGGCAGCGGCACCACGACCCGCACTGGCCCCAGCGCCCATCATCATCTACCACCCGCCCATCATCGACTGGGGGCCGCTGCCGAAGAGGGAGAGCCGACGGGCGGCGGAGCTGGCCAAGAGGCGCCGCGAGGAGGCCGGCCGCCGCCGGGAGGAGGCTGGAAGAGTCGCGGATATCAGGACAGTCAGGATGTGCTCTAGCTGAGTAACGAAGCCGTCGGGAAGGACCACGGCCTCTTCCAGCTGCTCGCCACCCTCGCCGTCATAGGGTGAGGATCCCGCCTGACCCCTCCCATACACACGCACACACACACACACCACATCATTTACTCATCGGGCGTGTGTGTTTCAGTCTGCAAGGGATGTGCCGTGTGTACCGTCGGATCATGGCCTTTTTCCGCCCAGCCCCACCGCGCCGAGCCGACCGACGTAGCCGCCGCCGCCCGGCCGTCATCCGCCGACATGTCACCGCCCCTGCGCCCGCGATGATGGCTCACGTGTGTTGGGGCACGATATGCGTTGTCGACAGGACTGTAATGCTCTGCCCTGTGTGTCCATCCATCACGCAACAGGACCACGAGCGGCGGTTTAGTTGGGGAGAGATGACACGCGGGGCGGCCGGCATAACAGTGAGCAGATGGCCCCACACAAACGCCATTCTATCAACTGAACTGAGAGGAAATCTCTGCTGGTTTGTTGGCTGCAGGATGCCGACCTGACGAGGGAGGTGGGCGTGCAGGTCGGGCGGCCCCTGGTGAGAAACAAGCATCACGAACAGACTTACCAGTGCAGACCACACATTAATCCCTCTCTCTGTTTGGTCTGCGACAGGTGCACTACCTCCCCGACATCCCCCTCTATCCGGCAGCGGCACCACGGCCCCCACTGGCCCCAGCGCCCATCATCATCTACCACCCGCCCATCGTGGACTGGGTGCCGCTGCCGAAGAGGGAGAGCCGACGGGCGGCGGAGCTGGCCAAGAGGCGCCGCGAGGAGGCCGAGCTGCTGTGGGCGGAGAGGGGGTGCTGGCTGTGCCTGTCCTGCCTCGCCATTTCGGCCGCTTCCTGGGAGAGCTGGGTATCACACACACTCACTGAGCCTCTTTCTTACAGATCAAGAGAGCAAGAGAAGCTGGCGAAAGGCGAATGCCCCCTTCCTCTGTCTCTGTTCAGACATCGCTGCCTTCATTTTATATCTGCGGAGTCCTATATACTCGAGTCGCGGATATCATCACAGTCAGGATGTGCTCTAGTTGAGTAACGATGCCGTCGCGAAGGACCACGGCCTCTTCCAGCTGCTCGCCACCCTCGCCCTCATAGGGTGAGGATCCCGCCTGACCCCTCCCATACACACGCACACAGCACCACATCATTTACTCATCGGGCGTGTGTGTTTCAGGCTGTGGCAAGGGGTGTGCGATGTCAAGCGTCGGATCATGTAAGAGACAAGACGTAAGAGTGCACAGCGGATGTGGGGATGGATGAGATGCATCTGCACGTTGATGATAAGTATGTCATGCCGTCCGTCCTTGTTTGCATATGCATTCAGGCTAAATCAACCTCAATACGTCCTAACCGTCTGCAAGGGTGAGATCATGATGCATTCACAAAAAAGGAGAGAGATCCTGTGGACGGCAACCATAGTGCGTGTGTATGTCTTGTGTCTGCTCCAGACTGGGAAGGGAATGCCCGCTGCTGCCAAGGCATCGCGGGGATACACTGTAAGGCGGAGGGCAAGACCGACAACCCGCTCGACTCTGGCCACATCTCATGCCCGAACCCGGACGCCAACAAGCCCCCGCACCGACGGCAGACGGGGAAGTCGTTGTGCACCAGGGAACGGCTGCTGACCACCGGCATGTGGGCGACCGAGAGGGCATCCCACCGCAGTCGCCCATCTCAAATCGACTCCATTCGGGATTGGGACCTGAGGCAACAGTCATGGAACTCGTTTGTTCGCTCGTTTTCGTCGGGGCAGTGGCCATTGCGGCTATCACCTTCACGTAAGAACACACAGCGGACCACTGAACAGCGTGGATGAGATGCATCTGCATGTTGATGGTAAGTATGTCATGCCGTCCGTCCGTTTGCCTATGCGTTCAGCATGAATCGTCCTGAAAACGTAAACGTTGGGCGGCTGCCCGCCTGTGTCTGTCTGAGTTGTGACTGGGAGACCACAAGGGGTGAGCCGTCAGCAGGCAAGCGGGAATGTCTATCTCCCGACTGAGACACACGTTTGTGTCTCCATGTGCCTTCAGACATCGCTGCCTCCATTTTATATCTGTGGACTCGTCAACTACGTCAACTCGTCAGCCGACCGCACACATACCTTTCCACGTGTTGGGCGGAAGCGGTGAGTGGAGACACATTCGGAGAGGCACATGATTTGCGAGGCACAATGATGCCAGGCTGTCTGTGTGTGTATTGTGGCGGTTCTGCTGGCAGGACATCATCACTGGCGGCACTCGTCCAGGTGTGCCACGTCTCTCACTTTCTGTGTCTCGAAGTGTATGGACACATCTGTTCAGACATCGCTGCCTCCATTTTATATCTGCGGACTCGTCAACGATGCCAACTCGCGTTGGGGTCGTTCTCGCCCATTCGCCAACAGCGGACCAACGACCGGCCTCGCATGAGCTGGCCCATATCGGCTGGTGGCCGCTCCGCTCAATCCGCCCTTTTCGTCGTCCTCCGCGCCCCGCCGCAGCTGCCACCATCACAGAAGGTCCATTTGCCCCAACAGCATGAGCACCACCGCACGAGGGGCAGCAAGCAGATCAAGGTGAACCGATACACACATGTCTCCATGTGTCTTGTGTCGCTCTGTGCGTGTCAGACATCGCTGCCTCCATTTTATATCTGCGGAGACTTAAACAACGCCAACTCGCCACTGAGTCGTCACTCGTCGATCTGTCTGTATGTCTTTCTGTCAGTCTGTCTGTCTGTCTGCCTGGATGTCTTCTTGCGTTGTGTCTTTTGCAGGCTTCCTGGCACATTCTCACCTGAGCCGAAGTCTTGGAGGCTCGTCCCTCAGCGCGCGAGCGCCAGCGAGGAAGGTAAGTAGACAAAGTTGCACTCCAAAACCATTACGGATTCGTCCTTCACCAGCTGGTGCTAGAGATGAAGCTGGTCAAGAACCGCTCATGATACGGCAGCCAAAGCCAGTTTTCGACTACTCCCGCGAAGATCACTCCGTTACCGGAGACGGCACTAGCTTATCCACCTTGGTACCGTCACACTTGGATATCCTATACCTTGATGGATGTCTTTCATGAGGACGTCGCTCTGAGGACTTACGGCAGTGACACACCGCCACCGCTCCACGCAGCAGCATACGCCGAACGAGTTGAAGAAGCGGATGGAGCGCATCATGGAGACGTCAACTATTGGCTGGAACAAGGGGTGGCCTCGACGACCCGATGCTCGGAATCGTCGAGCGCGACGGCTAAATCGCCTTGTGGAAAGGGATGGAAGGTGCGTGAAGGGTAACTTCATGCGTCTTTCATGACGAACGATTGGCTGTCATCGATGAACCGGTCTCTGTGTGTGTACAGCATTGCAGCAGCTGTATCAGCCAATCCAAGTGAATTTCTTCAGTGAGTGCGACCACAGAGAGGCAAAACGACCGATCGCCCATACATACATTCACGTGTGCGCACGTGTGGACAGGATTTTGTGTTCGTCGTCCTTTGCCGGGCAACGCGCTGCCGCGCATCACGGTGCATACGATATCAATGCTGCCAAGATGTCTCTCGTCACAATGTAGGTATACAGACAGACAACAACACACAACACACAACACACAACACACAACACAACCAACTGCATCTGTCTGTGTTTGGTCAGTCCGCTCATGCAGAAAATAACGTGCTCATCAAATGACCAACGCTGTCGCCGTCGGTGATGTTTGCACTGCCTGTCTGCCGCTTTTTTGCTGTCTGTGTGCAGAATCCTCCTCTTCCTGACACACCAGTGACAGCCAACTATCGCACTGCCATCCGATGGGTAAGTTGGTCAATCAGTGAGCACAAGTGGCTAACGCGTCATAGTATGTATGTATGTATGTATGTTTTCATAAACGTGTATTTCAACGACATCCAACCAGTGTGCGCCTTGCTTTCAACGTCCAACCGAACGTGGATGGGAAGGGGATGGAGGGGGCAGGGGTGAGTGAGAGATAGAGGATGGGAGTATGTAAAGGGCTTCTATCTGTCTGTGTTTGTGTATGTGTACTGACGCAGGCTGGTGCTGGCCCAAGACCATTCGTCTGGAGCCCGACACCAAGATAGCCAAGCGGCCATACAAGGTAAGGTGGACCACATGTGTACACATGAGTGACTGTGTCTCGTTTGGTGTGGCTGACAAGAATATCCGCTGTCGAGGAGGAGACAGACGTCGACAAATTTTATACGGCAAAGGACGTCAAGGACTGTGACTCTCACATGTACGCGTAAGGAGGCAGGCAAGGTGCATGGCCGGCCATGTGTGACTTGTGTGTGTGTGTGTGTGTCTTCATCGATGCAGCCTCGTTGATCTGTTCGAGTCGGCCAAAGGGATGAAGGCATGTTTCAAGTGCACAAACGACGCTGAGCGCGAGTTGTGGTATGATGCTATCCTCGACGAGGTGAGAGATATATTGAACGGACCGGACTCAATACAGACATACCAGTACACGGACACGCATCCCCCTCTCTGTCTCTGTGCCCGGTTCCCGCCTGTCTGTCTGTTTGTCTGTGTCTCGGTGCATGCAGGTCACCAAGCTGCGTACACGTGCGGGCCTGGCAGCAGCGGCGGCGGCAAGTGTAGTACATGCACAGCCGTCTGTGCAGCAGCCGTCCATTCTCAGGGAGTCCATCGTGCTGCCGCCGTCCGGCAAAGGCGCTGCTGACAAGTCTGCTGGTGCTGCTGCTGTGTCCGGCAAGGAGGCCGACGGACGCGCTAGCCAGTCGGCTCGCCGCGTGTCTCTGGGCCATATGGCGGCGGCCCGAGCAGCAAGCGTGGGGGAGGACTGGGACAAACTCGCCAGCAAGACAAACAGCAACGTCAAGAAGAAGCTCGTGGCGTCTCGCCTTGCGGCGAAGCGAGGGGAGAGCTCGGACTCTGTCGGGGAAGAGCCTGGGGCGGTCGAGAGTAGCAGCCGTCTCACGATCCCCACCCTCTACGAGAGGCCCTTTGCCGCACCACAACACGTGGTTGACCGACGCATCACCAGCCCCTTCCGTGAGCACACCGTGCACAGCGGAGGCCAAGAAGCGGCTCATGGCAGCCATGAGATTGTCACAGGTCAGCCAACCCACCACCTACAACACACACACACAGAGACACACATGGAGCTCATCTCACCTCTGTGTGTGTGGGTCGATGGATGTGTGTCAGAGTCTGACCCGTCGGTGTCTTCCGTTAGTCCCGACGTCAGGGCCGCACTGCACGCCGGGCGCCTGGAGGACCTCAAGCAGAGATACGAGGCCCGCATGAACTCAACGGAGGGCGAAGTCGACACACTCAGCGAGCACCAAGTGAGTGACCACATTCATTCACCAGTCGATGCAGACAAACCGGATGTCTCCTGTCTGTCTGTCTGTCTGTCTGCAGACATGTCTGTGCACGAGTGGCTTGCCGGGACTGGCCCTTACGTCAGCCCCACACCCCCATCCATCTCGCCCAAACCCACCACACACCCAGCGATGCAGAGAAGCGCACCGGTCGTCGGCTATCTAGCGACATACGGTGTCGAGATTACGCCTGGCAACACCACTCTCAGTCTGCGGCCCGACGACATGGACCTTCCCATTGTGTCTGAGCGCCTGTCGGCCTACCTGCAAGGCCACCCACTCCCTGTGCGCGTGGCCATTGCTCCTCCACCAAGCGGCGCCGTCTGGACCTTCGCCGACGAGCTGCAGAACGGCACGGAGGACATAGAGGTTGTCCAGGACCGCGACAAGACGGCTGGCGATCGTGTGGCCAGACGTGCTAGGACACTCGGTGAGCTGAGGGAGGTGGTGGTGGGCCGGCTGTCGGGACTGGTGCTGGTCCTCGTCGTCACCATACTGCATACACCGTCCATTCCATCCATCCATCGAGGCTATCTATGTGTTCTTGGTTGCAGGGCGGTGGTTTTCGTATATGCCTTAATAAAGCCGAGACCTACACGACACCGATGCAGAGGGACGGGGGCTCGGCTGGCCCTTCGACGGGCCAAGTCGTCCCCCGCCCTGCTGTCATCGGCCATCCCTCGCCGCACACACCAGCACCAGGCGGTGAGCGAACAGTGCACAGTGCACAATGCAGACCACCGAAACAGAACACACCGAATAAATCCATCCGCCTCCCTTGGTGTGTTGGTACTACAGGGGCCGATCTACATGCCGGCCCACCCCGTCAATCCACGAGTGGCCGCTGCACGGCCCCCCGCTCCCGCAGCCGTGCCCGCCCCGGCCACCATCTCTGTGCTAGCGCAGCCATCTACTACGTCCACCCCATGTACTACGTCCCGCCCCCTCCCCCGCCCCAGCCCGCCATGGGCTGGAAGCCACTCCCGGCCATCGAGCGCGCCCGCAAGATGAGAAAATACAATACAAGAAGCTGGTGCAGGAGGGGTGGCGGCCTACCTGGCCACACAAAGCCACCATGTGTTGAGTGGAAGCAGTGAGTGGAGACACACGCAAAGAGCCGTCCGATCCCGCACACGCATCTCATCTGTCCGTTTGTGTCTTTAGGTATCGCTGCTTGCATTTTATATTTGACGACTGATTATCAACATGTGGACGTACCGTCATAAATTGTCTTTCTGGCGCGTAAGGAGGCGAACTCACACAGAGACAGTCAGGTGTCCACTTTGTATGTAAGCGTGGTACGAAAGCGTGGGGACACACGATTTGTGCAGCACAACGATGCTAAGCTGTCTGTGTGTGTGTATCCTGCTGCATTTTCAGAGGAAAGAGGGCCCTGGCAGGTCATCGTCACTGGGCGCCACTCTTCCAGGTGTGCAGGTGGGCAGATGCACATTTCTACGCCATGTCTCTCTTTTGTGTCTTCGTATATCCATCTGTTCAGACATCGCTGCCTCCATTTTATATTTGCGGACTCGTCAGCAGCGCCAACGCTTGGCCTGTCTGGCCGCATCGCAGCCCATCATGTCGGCACGAGCATTATCCCACCGGTGGGCCCATTGCTGGCCTACCTGGCCACCTAAAGCACCCACACAGTGGGGGGCGGGGCGGCCGGCATAACGGTGAGCAGATGGCCCCACACAAACGTCATTCTATCCACTGAACTGAGAGGAAATCTCTGCTGGTTTGTTGGCTGCAGGATGCCGACCTGACGAGGGAGGTGGGCGTGCAGGTCGGGCGGCCCCTGGTGAGAAACAAGCATCACGAACAGACTTACCAGTGCAGACCACACATGAATCCCTCTCTCTGTTTGGTCTGCGACAGGTCAACTATCTCCCCGCCATCCCCCTCTACCCGGCAGCGGCACCACGACCCGCACTGGTCCCAGCGCCCATCATCATCTACCACCCGCCCATCGTGGACTGGGTGCCGCTGCCGAAGAGGGAGAGCCGACGGGCGGCGGAGCTGGCCAAGAGGCGCCGCGAGGAGGCCGAGCTGCTGTGGGCGGAGAGGGGGTGCTGGCTGTGCCTGGCCTGCCTCGCCATTTCGGCTACTTGTCGACCTAAGCCCCCGGGTGTTGGGCGGAAGCGGTGAGTGGAGACACATCCAGAGAGGCTGTGCATTAGTACAAAGTAACGATGCCTCTGGCACAAGGCGAGTGTCTCTTTGTCTCTGTGCGTGTCAGACATCGCTGCCTCCATTTTATATCTGTGGAGTCCTCGACACCTCTGCCACAGCTGCTTTTGTTCATCCAGAGTGTCACAAGATGCCACTGTCAGCCCACCGACCAGCACTGTGGCCGCCCCTCCGAGCAGCCAGCGCTTTCCGAGCGACGTGATCGCCTACTCTTCCTGAACGCGACAACTGTTGTGGTCCCTGAGACTGTTGAGTACCGGCGGGAGGTGGACGGATTGAGTGCATCGTACACGGAGGACCGGGACAGCCACATTATAATGCTGTCCCCATCACTCACCATCACCCTTATCTGGTAAGGTACACGCATGGCGATAGACAGACAGAGACCACAACAATTCCATCGGGTCTGTCGGGTGCGTGCGGCTCAGGGTGCTGTGTGCCAGGAGGGGCAGGAGAAGGCGCCGTATCAGGGGCCGTCATGCCGTGGCCCTCCGGCGGTCGAGGTCGTCACCGGCCCTCCTGGTGCGACATCGGCAGCTGGTGGGCAAAAAAAGAGCTGCAAAGAGCGATCTGTTGAAGTGAATTGAGCATCTTTCCGTTGCTGCTGGCTTGTTGCTCACAGGACGGCCAGGCGGCTGGAGGCTATGTGGCGGCGGCGGCTGTGCAGCAGGAGGCTCCCCAGGTGAGAACTAAGCACCGCCACACTCGAACACACATGCATCAATCCATTTGCCTGTCTGCCTGTCTGCCTGTCTGTGTGCGTCTCCTGCCTTGGCGTGCACAACACCACAGGGGCCATTCTATATCCGAGCCCACCCCGTACACCCGGCCGTCGCCGCTGCCCAGCCACAGCCTGCCAACGCCCACCCTACGGCCCCCATGCTGCATGTCATAGTGCAGCCAGTCCACCACATGCACTACATGATCCTCCCGCCCCCTCCCGTAGTGCCGGTGCTGCTGCCCCCGCCCCAGCCCGCCATGGATGATTGGATGCCACTCCCCGCCCGAGAGCACGCCCGCAAGATGCAGGCGTACCAGGTCCTCATGGCCTACCTGCTGGCATAAGGCGACGTGTTGGGCGGCAGCGGTAAGTGGAGACATATGCAGAGGCTGTGCACTTGTGCAGCTCTGTCTGTGTGTGTGCATAGCTGCACATTCAGACGAAGGAGGGCCGCCCGGTTCTGCTGGCAGGACACCATTACTGGGCGGCACTGCTGGCAGGTGTGTCGGTGGGCAGATTCACGCCGCACATTTCTATGCCACGTCTCTCTTCATGTGTCTCGTGTCTTTGTATGTCTCTTCAGATATCGCTGCCTTCATTTTATATCTGTGGACTCGTCAAAAACGCCAATCCGCCTTGTTTGCTGCCTTCGACGACAACGCCAACTTGTTGGAAAACAGCGAACGAAAGACCACCTGGTCATCAGCGGCGGAGAGGACCATGATAGTCATCGCGCTGCTGTGCGTTTTGTTCCGGCGCTTCCTCTGAGTGGCCTCAGAGGAGGGGGGGATATCAGGATATCTGTGCTTGCTTAGTTTAGTGATGTTTGTGTGCTGTATTGTGATGTATTGTGCTGTGTGAGTGTGTGGGGGTTTCTTTATCTTTATGATTTGTCGGCGTCTGTCCGTTTATGCCATTTATGAGAGTGCCCGAGGGTGTGTGTTTTGTCTGTTTTCTTTGGTCCATTTGTCGCCGTGCTGCTGCTGTTTTTAAAAGCCATATACAGACACACATACACACACACCGTACAGTAGCCGCCACGACGCCGAGAGTGGGGCGTGTGAGAGAGATCAGGGGTGTCTGTCAGTGATGCGGTGGGTGGGTGGGTGGGGGACTCATCGCATTCGATTGTCTGCCCTGTCTGTCTGTTGTGTGGAGGTGGTTTATCGGTGTCGACTTCCCTTCGGGGAGGCTCGCCTTTATGGCGTTGCTGTCCTCTGGACGGCTCGCCCTTAGTTTGGCTGCCGTCTGGCTGTTTTCTCATCTTTCTTTTGTGATGGTTTTCGTTTGTGTGGGTGTCGCTGTCCTCTCCCCGTCTGTCTACTTATGTATGTGCGTCGGCACTGTTGTCGGTGACCGAAACCATCAATCGGGTGGTGCTGCACGTGGTGCGGCTGAAGAGAAGCCGCATGGTTGTCGTGTCTGTGTGAGTGGTGGGTGGTGTCTGTGTGAGGGGTAGTGTGTCCGTCGTTGTGTTGTGTGTCTGTGGTCACTCTGCACCGCACCACCACCTCATCGGTACGCCCATCCCACACAAACACAACACACACACGACATGAAGTCACCTTTGTCTCTCCTGGTGTGTTGCTGTCTGTGTGTGTTGGCTGCAATGCAGTCGTTCGCTCGTCCACCATCCGCCCTCTGTGCCACCGCCCCCGCCTCTTCTGCCCTTCTGCCCCACCAGGAGCCCTAAGACGCCCACCCTACAAGGCAGTACACTACCACAAGGCGCCGTCAACGACGGCCCACGCCGGAAGAGCTGTCAAGACCGCAACTTATCTATCTCTCTCTCTCTCTCTGGTGGCTGTCTGTCTGTCTGTCTGGCTGTCTGTCCGTCAGTATGTCCGTCAGTGTGTTAGACGGTGTTTTTTAAATATCTATGGGATGGCTGGATGAATGGATGGATGGATGGACAAATGGTGGGTGCGCCAAGCCTGAGGTCGCGTATCTCACCAACACGAGCAGTGAGTAGATGTGGCTCAGTGCGGAAGGTTTATGACTTCATGCTGGAGGCTGGATGTGTTGTGTGAGTGCTGGAGATGACCCTGGCTGGTGACTGCGTGTATGCCGTGAGACCACATATATACTCGCCGTGGCCGACTATTTTTGGTGCATTCCATTCCTATCAATGGGGGCCCTCTCCCTGAGGGAGGGGGCCGGGGCGCGATTTGGTTGGCGATTATCTGTGGTTGTGCCAGAGGTACGCAGAAGATAGAGACACACGCAGGGAGGCAACTTGTGCACGTGTGTGTGTCGTGTGTGGTGTGTGAGTGCAGGTGCTGCAACACCTCTCAGCGCTGCTTTACGTAGTCATCTGTGTCTGCTGGTACCTGCTGGTAAGACCACATTGGCCGTGATCACACGTTGACGGCATCACTCCCTGGGTGTGTTCGATGCAGGAGTCTGAGGCCACACCACCACCTTCGGCGCCGCAAGAGGTCTCCCGTTTGAGTGGTGCGAGGCCGGCAGTAGGTTAGTGGAGACACACGCGGAGAGCACTCCCGTCACACTCACGCATCTCTTCATCTGTCCGTTTGTATGTGTTCAGACATCGCTGCTTATATTTTATATTTCACGACTGATTGTCAACATGTCGACGTGCCGTCACAGCATGTCTCTCTGGCGCGTAAGGAGGCCGAGGCCCACACCACAGAGACCTTCAGGCCACCATTTTATATGTGTCTGTTCAGCTGCGGGCCAGCAGCCAGAAGGGTCGCAATGGCGTCTGAAGGGCGTCTCGCCGGTCAGTGAGCAGCACCCCAAGGTCAATCCCACCATGACACAGAAACACGCTTATTTAGATGCATAGGTGAGACGTATGGGAAACACGGAGACAGCGACGTGGGTGTGATGCGTTGTGTTGTGTTGTGTGTGTGGTTATAGTTTATTGATGGCCTATAGCGGCGGACGGTCTTGGCGTTTCCCTTGGCAACATTGCCGCACCTCTACAAGGAGCGATGTGGGGCGCTCCTGCATCTCTTTGACGGGCCGTCCATGATTCTCGGCAAATTCGTCAGAAACCCAACGGTCAGCCCGATAGTTAGTGGGAGATAGGCAGACAGTTTTGGTGATGGGTGTGTGTCTTCCTTCAGGTGGCTGTATTGTTTTAAGGGCCAGGTTATCGCTGCCTCCATTTTATATCCCGTGTGTCACTGACTCCTTTACATGCGTTTTCTGTCTGCCGCTTGATGAATCAGTGTCAATCCGGCACTCTCTCTTGTCGTTCTTGCTTGCCATGTGGGAGATAAAGGATGGAAATGGACCTTTCTCTCTACGGGTGAGTCTTTCTCATTGTCGTGCAGACATGCCGCCAACAGATACAATGCATACACCACCACACGCAGTCCGCTCGCCCGCCAGACAGTCAGCTAGTCGTGTCTCCTCCGTTGAAACCACCTAGTCGTCTGCATCACCTGTGTGGCCCTCACCTTCATGGTCTTATGGTGCCTGGCCGTCGAGGACGATAGCTGCGATGGGGCCGAGGACGAGACATGCCTTGGCGGCCGTCAGGGGGAATCGGTGTGCGAAGGGCGCGTCATGGGGGACACCTGCTGCCGGCGCCTCGGTGGTACTGATGAACATGTGCACTGCACGTAGCCATGAGCACAAAATCAGACACCATGACAGCATGGGGGTGTTGTCGAGTTGCTGTTCTCCTACATATATGCATACCGTTCTGGCTGGTGAGGCCTGGAGGGGTGCCAAAGTTAATCCATGCGATGAAGGGGTCACCGGACGACGTCAGCACATGCGACTGCCCACACCCCCCACTGACCGCCTCGTATGCCGTCACGTGTGAGCACTCGTCAAGGGGCGTGTGGGGCGATCGAGTCACCGTGCGGTCCAGATAACCGCCACGCACACTCCTGACGCACACATCCATGTTTGACGCAGACCACCAGCGACCTGCCACCTTCATCCGTCCACTTACCGGTCAACGTGCACTATTGGCGACTGGGACATGCCGCCCACAGCCATCCCTCGGTGAACCAGCATGAGCCTCTTCAGCAGGGAAGTCGCCGATGCGGAAACATACGTTTGATGAACACCATCAGGCGCCCAGCCCACACCAGGCTGCCACCCAATGGTGCAGCGGACGGGCGGGTCGTGCGGCTTAGCGTGGTGGGTGAAGGGGTGCTGCGAGAAGGGATGGACGGGGCGGGTGGGGTGGGAGAGGTCCTAGGGCGGGTTGATGACGATGGCGAAGTTGGGCTCGTTGCGGATGGCGCGAATCTCGTTGTTGTGGCGGAACAGCTGTAGTGTGCCGTCATGCTGGCCATTGGGCCGACGGAGGACTACACGGCGGCCGACGAGCATCCACCGCGCACAGAACCGGGGCAGCGATGAGTAGTCCTGCATCGAACACACACAGACAGAGAGCCATTCACTCATTGCCCCACTGCCTCCCATCTCATGTGTGTGGTGCTTACCGCCTTGGTGGCGTGTGTCTGCAGATCTCCGGCACCCACAGTGACCGGCAGCTGGCAATAGCCGAAATGCTCACCGAATCTGAGTGTGTCGGCCACATCCCCCTAGCCGCCCTCGCCCCCCTCCTCCATCAGCCACATGGCCTTCAACACATCGCCGTGGCTCAGCTGATCGTCGAACTGCACCACACCGCCCGCCCCCGCACATTCGATGGCCTTCCGCAGCCGAATACGGCGGATGATGGGCCGCAGGGCGTTTCTGAAGTGGCGGGCTGTCGCCTTGAGTCGGGCGACGGTCGTGAGGGCAGAGAGTGCGAGGATGATGCTCTTCGGCTCGGCGGGAATGTCAGTCACGTGCAATCGCCGAGCCTGACGACACACAGAAAGACACACATGCAGCTGTGTGTGTGTGTGTGGTCTCTCTCTGACCTGTGTCCGGGTGTGTCTTGTGAGTGCGATGGTCGAGTCGATGCTGTCCGCCAGCTGGGCCAGACGGGCCGATTCGTTAGCGAGTTGACGACTGACATTGGCCACCATCTGACGAATCACACGAGAGCATCATGACACAGAGGCCTTTGTGCTGTCATTGTGTGTGGCAGTCTGTCCGCACCAGTGGTGTGATCGCAGCGGTGTCCATCTGAGTGAGTCGGCCGATGCCATTGTTGACCTGCACACCACACCACACACAAACAACACAAAGCAGTCAGCCGATGAGCGACGGATGCACTGAATGAGTGACTGAGTGACTGAGTGAGTGTTTTGGTTACGTACCCGCGCCTGATTGGTCTGATAGGCCTGAATCTTTGCCAGCAGCTGCTGCCGCATCGCCGCCATTGACGTCTGCAGAGTATTCGCACGACAAACAACACAATCACACAAAGACAGCACACACGATGATTCACCCCGTGATCTCCGTGCTTTGCTTTGCTTTGGCTCCTCTGGATCTTCTCTCACCTGAACAGCGCTGGCAGCCATCGTCATCTGGGAAGGAGGCGATGAATCAGACTGCTACATGTACCTCGGGACCTCACCAAGGTCTCCTCGCTCCTCTGCCCTTCCTTCGCCGTTGTTGCGAGCTTAGAGGTGCCATCCCCCTCTGGAGATTTTACCCATTCCTAGGTGTGCATTCGGTTGATCCCGAAAGGTCACACACGCAGAGGGTGCATGTGCAAGGGGTGGGGTACATGTCACCATACTGTCACACCAAAACAACACACCGACACGTAATTGTCAACCGGAACGCAGCCTCTGGATAAACCGGAAGAAAACCAGAAACGAGCCCGGCGCCCTCCCTCTGGATAAACCGTATGCCTGTGGGTGGCTACATACATTCAAGTAGGGGCGGGGCGGGGGGGGCAGCATAAAGATATCAGCACGCACATCCAGCACACACAATACAACAGTGTCGCCGAGGGTGAATGGATGGATGGAATAGATGGATGGACGGGAGGAATGGCTGTGGTGTGCAGAGCCGTACGGACGCATCAGTGGTGCGGGTGGATGGGTGCAGAAGAAGTGGCCGGCCCCCCAGACACACACAACGAACACGACAGTCAGCCAGGCAGACAGACAGACAGACCAGCGATAACAAACATACGGCCAAACAGCCGAGCGATGCGACGTGCGATGCAGCCACACACCGACACACACCGTGCGATGGGCTTCTCTAGATCAGAACTACACATAAAGACACACACCCATCGAAGACACACAGACACACACACAGACACACCAATGACTCACAGTCAGACACACACAGTCAATAACTCACACACACACACACACACAGACACACAAAGGTGCGATAGGCTTCTCTAGTCAGAACAGACCCCTTCCCCTGCACCCTCACACGCACCACTGACAGCCGCACTGCATCAGTCCATCCATCCATCCACCTCTCCCGTCATGACGGCCACTGTGTGTGTGTGTGTGTGTCTATATATGGCTTTAAAAAACAGCAGCAGCACAGAATAAATCGACAAAGACAACCAAACACCCTCTGGGCACTCATAAACGGCACAATCAGACGCCCATAAAAGACAAAGAAAACCCACACACCCACCACATCCATCACGACACCAGCACACAACACATCACATGAATAAATCGAAAAAGAAAACGCTACTCAGTTGCTAAGGGGACATGAACGACCCTACGTTATAAAACACATGCAATTCCTGACTCCTGACTCCTGATTTCCGGAACTCCGGATCCCCCCCGCCCCCTCCACCCATGTGTGTGTGGGGGTGGATTATGCGGCCCAGTATGCCGCGAAGCGGCACCAGCCCGCCGCCACCAGCTGCTTGTAGGCCGCCATCTTCTTGACGTGCTCGCGCACGGGCAGCGGCAGCTGGGGCGGGGGCGGGTGCACCACCACGAAGACCGGCACAGGGGCTGGGGCTGGGGCAGGTGCGGGCGGCATGGCAGCGACGGGCTGGGGCAGCAGGACGGCGGGGTGGACGGGGTGCGCAGGCACGTAAAGTACCTGCCGCACACACCAAGGCAGCACACGCAGTCAACGGTTTGTGTCGTCTGGTCTGCTTGTGGTCTTCCTCTCTCACCTGCGGCACCACAGCCGCCACCCCGGCCACCACCGCCTCCTAAAGGTAAGGAACCAGCGAAAGACACCTTCTCAGTTCATCAGCCGAAGACAGGGCGTGTGGGTGGCGTGCACCTGCCCAGCTGAATGTTTGCCGCTCCCTCGACTATCTCCTGTCACACGAATCGACGCCCTCCTTCTCTCTGCATCAACACACACATACACACACACGGTGCATCAGCGTGGGGTTCTCTGCTTTTCTGCCTGTGTTGCCACTCAGTCACCTGCTGCTGAGGCCGCATGAGCAGGGCCGGCGACGATTTGGTGCGGCGGAGGGCCACGACACGGCCGCCCCTGACGCGGCGCCGCCGCCTCGGCTTCCTGGCGCACAACACCCTGCACCGCACGCACCCGACATACCCGATGGAATTGCTGTGGTGTCTGTCTGTCTGTCTGTCGCCATGCGTGTTCCTCACCATACGAGGACGACCGTGAGGGAAGGGGACGGCATTATGCAGCTGTCCCGGCCCTCGGCCACGGTGTCTCGCTCTGCCGTCAGGCCGTCCATCAGGTCGACCTCGATGACCACGCCACTGCTCGGCTTTAGCCTCTCCTGCCCTTGCCCTTTGCTCTCATCCTCACCCCGCGCCTTCCTCCGTCCAATCGGCAGCCCCGCCACCGCCCCCATGTGCTAATCACCGACAGCCCCCCCGTCTGCTTCGATTGCCGTCTCGGCCTTGCCAGCCGTGTCTGGCTGCTCGTCGGCTGCCTCGTCCTGCGGAGAGACGGCCTCTTGGTCCTGCTCGGGCCCATTGATGGGAGGGCCGGACGGCGAGTGGTCTCCTTGATCGGCCGCGGGCGCTTCAGACGGCTCCTCCAGATCGTCGTCATCAGCATTCACAGGCTCCTCTTCGACGACAATGGACTCGTCAGTTACTTGCCCATCCACATGCCTGTCCTGCCCAGCACCATCGCCCTGGCCGGCATCAGTGTCTTCGGGCGCCTGCTCCCACACGCCCTCGCCCGCTCCGTCGCCAGAGAGCTCCTTGTGTGTGTAGAGATTGTGGAATACCCGCCACCGCGACACCCCTCTTGTCCTAACTGCAGCTGGAGAGACATGCGGGCTCTTGTCGGCCTCCTGCGTGTCTTCGTGCGGCGGTGTGGGTGATGGGATGCGGCTGACTGACTTGTCTTGGCCGGCTTGTTGGAGTAATCGTGAGGCCTCCTCGTTGTCGAGACCTGATGGATTGGGAGGGGGCGGTGCGCATCAATCAAGCGTCTGTCTGTCTGTCTATCTGTCTGGGTGTGGCTGTGGGTGGTTTGCGTCCGTACCTAGCTTGGTGCGGACGAGCTGGCGACAGCGCAGGGAGACGTTGAGCCCCTGCCGCCTGGCGCACTCGCGCAGCCTCCTCCGAAGGTCGACCTGTCGGTCTGTCCGACCCTCAACCACGGCATAGTCGACGGCTGCATAGTCGAGGGCCTCGCTGAGGCGTCGCGGCTGGCTGAGGTCGATGGTGAGGTCGACAGGGGCGGGCAGGGGGGCGGCGCTCGGCAGACCGGCAGACGCCGAATACGTCTCCTGCACACCACACACACACAAAATTAAGGTCTGTCCGTGTTATGTCGTGATGATGCGGTGTGTGATGCGCGACCTGTTTGCCGTCGACGGCCGCCATGGGCGTGTGAGCCTGCTCGCCGCTGCTTGACGTGGCTGTGGCGATGGTGCCGTTGGACCAGCTGCTGGTGGCATGCATGGCCTTGTCGTTGTCCGTCACAGCAAAGACCTCGCCGAAGGAAGATATGGCGTCGTAGTCCAGCCGCAAATCCTGCACATGATCATGATACACACACACATCAGTGAATTGTGTCACAGTAGATGCCTCTGTCCTCTCTCTGCCTCTCCCTTTGTGCGTGTGTGGGTGTGCCATGTGACGTGCCTTGAATGGGGGAGCGGCCTTCTGCATGTCGGTGGCCTGTTGCAGCTTAGCGCTGAGAGTGGCGAGTGTGCTGCCCGTCCGCTCACTGACGGCCGTCAAGGCCTCGATGGTGTCAGCGGCGTGCTCGTAGAGGGCCTCGCTGCGGGCCTCCTCGGTGCCATACAGCGACACGGCCTTCTTCAACACATTCCAGCGCTCACCTGCACACACACACACACACACACACACATACGGATGCTCATCTTATCCACCAAGACACACCACACACATTCCATTCACTGTCACCTACCGAGCACGACGTGCTGGTCGAACTTGGCGTACTGCTGGTTGATGAGCCGCAGTCTCCGCTTGGTGACGGCTGACAGGCTCGTGAGTGCCGCCTTGTCCTCACTCCCAGCCATGGCCGCCATGTAGGACAAAGAATCGACCCCCGCCGAGGCACCGCTGCTCACCTGCACTCACACACACAGAGAGAGAGAGAGAGAGGGAGAGAGAGAGAGGGAGAGAGATCCATCCATCCATGTCGTGTGTGTGGTTGTGTTGTGTTGTGTTGTGTTGTTTTGTGTTGTGGTGTGGTGTGTTGTGGTGTGTTGTGGTGTGTTGTGTTGTGTTGTGTTGTGTCACACACACCTGGTTGATTCCGAAGTCGTTGTGCAGGGGTCCCTTCATGATGATCTGCACGGCTTTGTCCTCCTCAGACGCCTCGTCGCTCACAGGCGCCTCGCGCCACGCCGCCGCCGTCAGTGTCCAGAAGAGGCCTCCCTCACTGCTCAACGGGGGCTATCTGCTGCAGCGATTGGCGCCGCCCCCGTGTGGCGTTGAGGTCGATGGCATCGCATGAGATGGCTGTGCAGG